TGTTTTACAACGTCGTTGCCAAGCGACGAAAACCCAACCCCGATGGCAAACACCGGGAGGGGCGGCGGGGGCGGCTTGTTTTACAACGTCGTTGCCAAGCGACGAAAATCCTACCCCGATGGCAAACACCGAGGGGGGGGACGGTCGGAGGGGGGAANCAACGGGGCAAGTCTACCTCTTTGAGCGGCCCGTATGACGGCAACCTCCCAAAGGCATTTCCGGATAGGGGACGTGCTGGTCCTTTCATGGTGGAATATTTTCGCCTAGGAGGTCCGCTCAGCGTAGACTATATCTCGCGGGGAGGGGGGGGGGTGTACTCATAGTCGTGCATGCCGTAGTCGTTAGACCATTGACCTCGCATCCCTACAAAGTCGGGACGGAGCACGCCGGGTTCTCACCGGACCAGGCTCGGTCGGAGGGGGGGGAGTAAAAACAAGAAACTACCAACCGAGAGAGGATAGGCATTCACCACAAAGAATACGCAGCGCCAGCATGCCTAGAGCGGAGCGGGGGCGCGGCCACAGCGGCGGCAGCGGCGGCGGCGGGAGCGGGGTGTTGAAAGGGAAAGCCGAATCACTGCTCTTGTACGAACGGAACCAGTGCGCGTGTTGAGNGGGGGGGGGGGGGGGGGGGGGGGGGGGGGGGGGGGGGGGGGGGGGGGGGCATGCTGAGAGATGCTGAACTGTTATGACGCAACATACAGCTACTTGCCGAATAAATTTCACGGACGAGAGTGGTTGCGGCTACCACTGCACTGTACGGCCGACTGCCGTAGAAAAGACGAAAGGGCGCCCGGGAAAGCAGGCACACGGAGCCCGTTTCTCGTTTCTTTAGCGGTGGTGGTGGCAATGATGTCAATGATGCCATCCAGAAGGTAACACCCCACGTGTGCTGCTTGATCTGCTGACTACTTCCCCTTCCTTCCCTATTCCTGGTCCCGGACACTTCCGGCCACATGGCCTTTTCGACGGAATACCCCTACTTGTACATACCGTACACCAAAGTTCCATGGCCGTCAGCACACACCAACCCCTCCATATGCCAGACGGGCGTGCGAACGGGATTTTTTTTTATACCCACCCAACACCAAGATCTCGTCACCAGTTCCTCCTCCTCTCGCTTCGTACAAACTGCCTACGCAAAGGAAAGTAAGGTTAATGTAACACGAAAAAAGACCAGGGAGAGGACACGCAGACCCATTGACCCTAACCCCAACCTAGCAAAGTACTTGCACACCCTGTACAAATGCAGTATTTGGTTGTTTGGGAATCAACTAATTGCCTGGAAAGCTGCGCAACTGTTTGATTGCAGTCAACTACTGTTTCGAAAAGCTGAGCAGTACTTGCAACTACTTTTCACAAATGCTGACCAAAATATTTGGTTCCAGTCAACTACTGTTTTGAAAAGCTGCGGAAATATTTGGTTCCTGTCAACTGCTGTCTTGAAAAGCTGCGCAACTGTTACTATTGGTTCCACTCAACTACTCCCAGAGGCAACTCTTTGTCAACTATTCATATTTGTCCTGACAACTATTTTGAACATTTTGTGCTTGAAAGTGAGGGGGCGGGGGATCGGAGGGAGCCCAGCCTGATGTCATTGGATGGAAGATTAAGATTGGTTCCGGAAACGTGCACCCTCGAATCAATAGTGCGTGCATGTATCTGAGCCATCGTCATCGAGACGTAAATCAACAAGATAAGTCAATCGAAGCGACAAAACAAATAATGAGTTTTGCCCCGACTATTATATTACATTACGTCCATCATCAGCCCGTGTGTGTGGGTGCGTGTGGCCCGTGCCGTGGGCCCGTGGGCTGGATCTTGGAGGTAACTGGTTTCAACTGACCAACTCTGACAACTGCTTGCTGTTCCAGGCTGGTCAAATCCAACGGTACTCAAGTATCTCCGCGCTCACAATTTATTTGCCCGCTAGGGACTGGTTCCAATCAATTATTGTTTTGAAAAGAACAGCAACTACTTGATAGCAATCAACTATTTTCCAGAAATGTTGAGCAAATATTTGATTGCAGTCAACTACTGTTTCGAAAAGCTGAGCAATTATTTGATTGAAGTCAACTACTTTCAGAAAAGTTGAGCTAAAATATTTGATTGCAGTCAACTACTGTTTTGAATAGCTGCGCACCTTTTTGATTGCAGTCAACTACTTTTCAGAAAAGCTGCGCAACTATTTGGTTCCGAGCAACTACCTCTTGATAAACCCTGTGCAACTGTTGTTTACAGGCAAATACCCGTAATAAAGTGGATTACACTCAAATAGTTGTACTTACATTATATATTTGTACAGCGTGTGAAAATACGTGTGTCTCCATACTCGAGAAGACCTTCGTAGACTACTGCTTCGTACCGGTGCTGGTGCCACCCTCGGGCTTGGAACGCTTCTTGGACCCGGCGTTCTGCTTCTTCTTCCCCTTGCCCTTGGTACCCTTTGCGGACGAGGCTCTTCCCCCCGGACCCTTCTTGTCGCGCTGTCGCAATTTTTTCACATGGGGTAGGAAGGCCGGCAGGGCAGCATCGGCGTCAGTCACAGAGGCACGCGAAACATCATCATTAGCACGACGCGTGGATTTACGGTTGACAAACATGGGACCAGTGGAACCTATACGTGCTTCGATGCTTGCAAAGAGACAAGGGGCACAAGCGGATTGGCCCCCTTTACCTCTTTCACCATGCTGACAGCAGTGGGCGTTTCAAGATAAAATAAAAGGTCGTGAAGGAAATCGAGCCGTTCGTGCACAGGGTGAAAAGAGACAGAATTATGACGGCCGCTTAGCGAGTATTGTATGTATACTACTGAAATCTAGATGGGGCGGGGGAGTTGTGCCGGGAGAGGGCGCAAGCAAAGGTGACCTCCACCGAGAGGAACGGGAACCAAATATCCAAAAGAAAGAAACGCGTCTTCTTCTTGGAACATCCACCACGCACGTGAAACTCAGGGAAAAGACTAACATCCGTCTGTCATTGTCGTGCTTGGTACTGCTCTCTGCCTCAGGTCCCTGGCCACTGTCGTGCTTGGTGCTGCTCCCTGCCCTACCTAGAAAGCAGCTACCCAAGAGGGGTTGCGGGCGACGCAAGTCGGATCGCGGCATACTGCAAAAAAGTGTTTGGGCTCAAGGTAGAACGTGACAAGGTAGAACGTGACCTCAACGGCGGTTGCCGTCATTAATACTAACAAACACCGCCCGTGCTCATAACGCACCTCGTACTCCCAGTCAACGTTGGCCTGGGCGGCGTCCGCGTCGGGCTGGAAGCCAAACTTGTCCAGAAGACCGTTCTTGCCGCCCTTGCCCTGCGATGGACCGACAGTTCATTTGATTGACGAAGTGGGTGGCACATTTGCCACAATGCGAGATTTTCTATAAACATTAACCAAGGTGCAAGCGGCAAGAAGATGACGGAGCATCCACACAGAAACTGATACACGAGGGGGGTGGAGAGACGGGTGCTGGGGGAATGCTTTCAGATTACTAGCCCGCGGCGCGGAAAATATAAACACAGGACAGGAGATCAACACACAGCAGATCACCACATGTTTCTTTTCTGCGAATCAGTATGATACCATAGCTACTAGTACCCAATTTTCCGTGATAGGGCTGCGCCTGCCCTGCGTCTGCTTCAATTTTGCCGCCAAGTCAGAAGCCACGTTTTACGTACAAGGCTTCCACCTTCCTCCCTCTAACCACGGCTGTCCGTTGGATGGTACAGCACTACTACTACTGCACACATGAAAAACAAAACGTTGTCAACGGATGGATTTGAATATTTAGCACGCCAACTTGAGCAGTTGCACACTGAAGCATAGATTGATGGGTACTGCTATTGAGTGTGCACGCGTCACGGCTGAGAGTAGCACAAGCCTATGCGCATCGAGTCGCCCAGCCCGCCTGCTTGAACTTCCTTCTATCCGGGGGTGATGTGGCGACGAACACCCAACACCAAAAGGCAACGGCCCCGCCGGAAAAACAAAATCGCCGTCTTGCTGCCATGTGTTGGGTGCGCTCCAATAAACGTATTCCAGCTGCAGCAGCAATGCACATGCATTTCGACCGGGTCCACGCTACTTACAGCAGAATAATCTTGGGGGCGCGCGCTGCCTAATACAGCGGCAGGCAGCGGACGAAAATTTCTCCTCCTTGGTGCTAAACGTGGTCGCGCCTCACCAGGAAACGACCATGGTGTTCTGGAGTTCAGAACTTTTGAGGTGCGTGGACTTGAAACACAATTTTTATCGTAGGCGAACAGAACACATCCTACTGCATGTTGCCGTACGGGGACACAGAAAACGGGATCCCTGAACAAGACCAAAGGGACAACCGCACTGCTGCTCTCTTGTTGCTGTACACCCATCCTACCGTGAGCATAGTGCCCTACCATGGTATGTACTACTTCGAAGGAATTGGAAAAGGCGTGGCGCAGTTGGGTTCACGTGTTGGTTGGGTGTAAAAAAGATGCCCCGCACGCACGAGCGATTCAAATTCAAAACGCACACATTTTTTTAAGTCAGCCTGTACATGCATGCAAATTCAAACAAGTGACGGTGGTGGTGTCTGTTCACACACACATATTACACACGCAATTATTGGTGTGGACACGCGACTACGTGTGCGCGCCAGTGAAATTCCAAGATCGGTAGCAAGACACGCATGGTTGGCGAACAGACTCCACAACGAAAGAACAAGGTTCAAAATTCTCGTTGCAACACGTGCGCGAGGGCATCATCGCCGCGAACGGACGTCACAAAAAAAGAAAAATCAAATCAGAGCCGCGCGTTTTCAGTGGTTTGTGCACAAAAGTGGATCTGATGAGCGTATGTACAGAGCGCCCGGTATTCCGTATCCGTGTTTGCCTTGAGATGAGTACAGTAGGGTGCTGAAAAGCGGTTCTCCCCTTGCCAAAACATGCCATAGGACACGGGTGCTTGTTGCTGATCCACTTACGTTAGAAAAAAAGGGAGCAAAGATCAACACACACCTCCGCAGCAGCGGCAGCAGGAGCAGCTCCCTTCTTCTTCCTCCTAGGCTTCTTGCCCCGAGATGCCCTCCTCCCAGAGCCCCCGCCGTCCTCTTCCTCCTCGTCTGTCTCCAGCAGCTGCTCCCCCCGTATTGGAACAAACAGCAGCAGCAGGAGCATCACAACAACCCCAACGCCAAACGACGCGCGCGGAGGACAATATGGAAATTTCCAATGCTGGCGAGAAATTTTTAAAGCTGAATCATCGTCGGCAGTACTACAGCATTACTATACTAGGAGAGCGGCGAGGCACACACACAAGTAGGTGCAGTACACACAAGCAGCTTGACGGAGTAGGCCACTTCCTTCTCCTCAACGCTGCTGCTTCGCACCTCGTCGTCGCCGTCGTCGTCGTTCTCGGCGTACTTGACGGCGGCCCTGGCGCGAGAGCTTGCCCTCGTCGGCGCCGCCTTGGCACGAGCGGCGGCCGGCCGTGTCCTCCCCTTGCGAGCCGGCCCTCGCCTCGCCTCCATGACGACGGCATCTTCCATTCCCTCGTCATCGTCATTGTCGCCGTCGTCGCCACCCTCGTCCGCCTGCCCGTCTTCTTCTGGCTCGCTGATGTCCTCCACGCTCTTGTCTTTACTGCTGCTCTTTCTAGGTGCTGCTGGCTGCCTGGCCGCTGGTAATGATGATGATGTCTTCCGCCTCCTTCTCCCAGCAGCGGCGCCGCCGCGCGCCACGTCGCTGCCGCTGCCGCGCTTGGTGGAGCCAGTGGAGGTCCTCGCCGCCGCCGCCGCTGCCGCGGCTACCGCTGCTATTGATGCCGTGGGTGCCTCCTCCCACCCGCAAACCTCACCTGTGCCGCCGGGTTTCCTTACCCCCTGATGGTCATCATCACCCGTCCCGGCGGCGGCGGGAGCAGCAGCAGAAGAACGCGCCGGCCGTACTGTCCCCGCAGCACGACTACGACTCGCGCGCATTCCTTCGCCGCTTTCTATCGCACACTGATGTACCGCGTGCTGCTGCTGCACCCAACACACACAAAGAATGCACTGCTGTATATGGCAGATATATACGGCCCTACTCTCTCCTCCTCTCTCCGAGGGACGTTTTTTTTTTTCCCCGAAAAAGCCCGAAAAAAGCTGCGCAAAACACCAATGTTTGGCACCAAAAATGTCGTTTTGGAGAAGCCCATTGGTGGCTTCTTGCTTCAAAATACAGCCGTTACGGGCAAGGATGTGATTTGGAGTCAGTCTGAGGAAGAGTGATTCTGGGCGTCTTCTACAGAAGCAATGTTTCTGACGTAGTAGCGAAATACTTCGATTTGAATAACATATCCAATGTATTTAACGTATTAATACTAATATTATTGGCGAGATACCGCTACTACAATCAAACGTCAAAAAAAAAAAAAACACTAGATACTATGCCCTAGTTTTAATACTAAAAAACTTGAAGTGAATATCAGGCAAAGATGGTCTTATTCTTCTACGCTCTGACGTCACTAGGCATGCACAAATACGTTCGTCCCCTCGCATCACAGGAGTAGTAGTATCGTTCTCGGTACATAAAAAGGAAAAACAACAACCTACTTGACTGGTGGATAATGACACTACTAGTCAAAGTAGACTTACTTAAAAAAAATAGACAATGAAAATACACTTTTTGAATAGCGGGAAATTATTAATCCATCAAATCCATCAACATGAAAAAAATACATCGTCAGTCATGAGCATCACAAGCAGTCTAGGCTCCCAATTTTTTCACCCCCCTTCTCTATAGAAGGCATACCGTTATTCTCGTAACTCTCCCCATCAGCGACACAATGCGTCCAGCCAACGAAAGATCGATATCTATCTCCAGCTCAAATGTATCGAGGTGGTAAATTCGCCATGTAGCAATTGATGGTCGAGGTACAAGTCGTACAGCAAGGGAGTGGCTAACCAACGTGCTCGCAGAAATGCGTGAAAATTTTCACCACATGCTTACTTAGGCTAACCTTCTGGATCAAGACACGGCACGGATCCAACAAGTCCCACCGCCGCTGCTCACAAACTTGCCGTGCTAACACGCTGTTCCTGCGGGGAAGCTTTTGAGCGGAAAAACCCAACTTGAACCGGTGCTTGCCTTGCATGTTCACGCGGGGTGTACCAATATTGCAAAAATCATATACCAGACCAGCTCTTTTTCCCTCCAAGGTACTCAAGTCGCCATTTTCCGGACACCAATAGCACATTCTACAACATCGTGTTCTCGCAACAATAATCTATCCCCTGCGTCACACCCCAACCACCACCGCCTGTCATCTATCTTCCTCAACTCTTTCATCTTCCCCCCATCCTACCGAAACACCTTGCCCTACGCGTGCCTCCGGGCTTTCACTCGGTCGTCCGGAGCTCCCGCCGAAGCCCACGCCCCCCGGCCGGCGAACGCCGCCTTCTCGAAGCTTCGCCGCCAAGGTTTGCAGGAATCGGTAGTGAACGTACTTGTGGTCGAACTGCATGTCGTGCCAGTAGTTGACGGCGACGGTGATCCCCCTTTGCGAGACTCGGTGGTACCAGAGGGACGGCAAGTACAGGATGTCCTGGGTTCGGCCATGGGATAAAAACAAAACAAACAGAAAAAAACGAAACACGTTTCAGCTTCGGACAAGGCCGTAGCAGATATGCGTAGGTACCATATCCTGCAAAAAACAAGTAAGTCCGGAGAACAAGCCGACCCGAGGTCATTTTTGTGCCGTGTGTAACGCTTCGAAGATGTGCTTTGCCAAAAGTGGTTAGTACAGGGTCATGTATCAACATCGAAATCCTAACCGTGATAGGTCCAGCCAGCATAGCGCACAGCTGAGTCGGCAAACAAGCCATATTGTATTAAGTGCTTCCGCACAAGAACGTGCACCACTGCCGACGGGCAGCTTCGAGCTCCCCGTGGGTACAAGACATGGACCGGGCATGATACTTTGAGAGAGAAGACAGCAACAAAAAAATACCTCGACTCCTTCACCCGACACCCTCGAGATTGTCAAAGAGTGGGGGGACATTCTCAAGACCCCATCGGACCCATTTTGCCTACCCGGTCTCTTCACGCTGCCCGCCGTCTCAATACAGTCGGGAAGCCTAACTCTCCCTCCTACAACAACGCGCAAGCACAACGACTTCTCACCCCTGGGCCTACGCGGCAGTGGACTGGAGAGGCGAAGCGAAATAGCGGATACTTTTCCAGGTCAGGGCACGCCGGATCTGACGGCAGAGGAAATGAACATAGGGTTCGGTNGGGGGGGGGGGGGGGGGGGGGGGGGGGGGGGGGGGGGGGGGGGGGGGGGGGGGGGGGGGGGGGGGGGGGGGGGGGGGGGGGGGGGGGGGGGGCGTACTCTCGTGTTATGCATGCCTTAGCGGTTAGGCAATTGACTACGCGTTCGCGAGAGGACCGAGCACTGTTCCCGCTGGAACGATCACCGATGACGGGTGGGGCTAATAGTCAGTCCGTCCGCCTTGCGTGTTGTGTGCGCATCCCGTACACAGCAGTGCGGGTTGTGGCAAGCAAATCGAGAGGAATCGAGTTGGAGGCAAGTCACGCCGCGAGGGATGCAAGAAAACCTACCAGCGTAGGCGGCTTTACCACCGGTGACATATGACGCACACGTCTCGGCGAAAACGTTGGTTACGTTTCGCGAAATGAAAAACGCTCCCAACAAGTCGGCGGAAACATAGCCCCATCACTAGCAATATTGCAGTGGGCATGTGTTCGAACGAGCTCCTGTTGGTGGTGTACATGACGGTATGGTGTGCGGATCCTCTTCGTCACGCTCGCCGTGGCCTCATGTACACTCCAATCAAAAACAAGGCCATGGCAGAGGTCTCGCCTACTGTCCCCAAACATCACGCCGGACTTTCGCACGACAGCTCTCACGCACTGCCACTAAATACCGGCAAGGTGTACCCGATCAAGTCCATACAACCTCACCGGGAAAATCACAAAAGTACTCACCGACAGGGATCCACGGCACCTTCCCTTCCTCCATCTCCACGTCGAACCCCCCCCCC